ATACTCAGCCAGTCTAAGGCCTGTAGTAACACATTCCTGAAGAGGACCGACACTCTACCAGTCTAAGGCCTGTAGTAATGCATTCCCAAAGACACGCAAACCTCAAGTGAACCACTGTCCTGCTAATTCGTGTATGACCTAACTGCAATGAAAATTCCCTTAGGTAGATATTTGATAGGTGGATCGAGTTCTGGTATACTAAATTGCCAAAATGTAACTGCCTGCCTTGATTTTAAAAAAGAAGAATTACATGTGATGAATAAACCTGCCAGGCACAGATTCCGAAGGGTATCTCATGTTTGCTACACACTTGCCCCAGCAAATAGTGACTCGGTACTTCAATATACTAAGCTTTCCCTTCAGCTGTGGAACAGATAACTTCCAGAAAGAGGTTCATACCATCCACCATATCAAGCCTGCCAGGAAGAGATTCCTCTTCAGAGTTTGCTCATGGCCGATTCCACAGTCTATCTTCATATATGTGACTAGACAAAGCCACGGGTAGAGATTAAAAACCCTGATTAGCCCGCTGGGTTTGAATAACTAGACATGGCGGACAGGTGGCTGTGGCAGACAGGTGGAATGTGTCAGCAGAGGTCTGTGTTCTACATCCCTATGTTTACAGCAGCTAGTTAGAATGCTTCCCCAGTCTGAAAGAAGCTTGGAATCTTGAGAAAATGCAGACTCTGACTCAGACCCCAGACGAGTTTGGAGAGCAGGCATTCCCAAGAAGTCCCCAAGAACACTGGCCGTGAAGTCTGGGGCACGATAGATAAGTCTCTGGGGACATGCTCTTGAGAAAGAGACAAGGAGCAGAGCCACCAGTGTGGCCTCTCAGTTATGCAGGACGTGATGCCCCAGTGGACAAGCTAGGATATACACCAGAGTCTCCCTTCCCTCTGCCAGTGACCTCTGCGCAGTCATCGAGGTTCACGGTTTCCCTGCCCCCTTCCCTGGTAGACACGGACCTCGGAGGCGTAGCCCCGGCTCTGCTCCTCTCACTAGGAGAAGTTCCAGGGCTGCCATTTCCTAAATGGTTTGTGGGCAGCAGTGTGTCACTTCCCCTTGGGTGCTCAGTTGGTCTCGTAGTGGATTCAAGTGTCACAACCTCCGTGTCCCTACCAGCATCTCAGGGTGAGTAGGAGAAGCCTCCTGAGGTGGTAGGAAAGCTGAAGGAAGTGTAGCCGGCCCCCGCCCATCGCATTATTAGTCTGGATAGTAAAGACCGAAGAGGCCTGAGGAGATCAAAAATGCTGGCCCACTCTGGTCTCCAGCCTAACAGGCGCTGCCAAGGGCATGGTACCTGCACAGCTATTCTTATATGCCATACTTTTAAAAAAAAATCTTCCTTCTGCAGTCATACCCTCAAAAGATCTACCAGTTTAAAAAAAAAAACGAAGATATTATTTATTACCCAGATAAGTTATTCAAAGGTCTCAAACATTTTGCAGAACTCCTCTTCATGAAAAGTGTGGAGTGGCTGGGATGAAAAGGAAATTTAGAATTTTGCAATATCTAATTCCTCATCCCAGTTAAATGCAGGTAGCTACACGCTTAGAGAAACTTGAATGTAGATACAGTATCAAGCCATTGTCCTTCAGGAAACAGGCCATGGCCACTGGCAACAGAGACAGATGGGTTGTGTCTTAAGATCCAGCTCTTTGAACGCATCCCCTTATGTGTAACACCTCCATGAAGTGGAAGTTGTGGTCCGTTTGGGGAATGTGGTCTTTAAGACCCCCCACCATGGACTATACGTTCATGCCCACACAAGCCATCGGAAAGCCATGGATTTGCAGTAAGCCTGCCTGACCTTGCTTTGTGGCTGGGATTAAGACACCAGTCATACAGTGCCCATGAGGGTGCATTGACTCAAGTGAGAAGGCGAGCCTCAGTCTCCTCAGAATGCCAGCCTTTCCTTCCTATAGGAGGGAAATGAGTCTCCCAAACATGTTTGTGTCATGGGCTTTCCTGCGCAGGCCTACCCTGTCTGAGTAAGAGCTGTGTGTGGTGTTAGGCATGGTCAAGCTCCCCAGCTGAGTCCTCTTCATACGCTGGTCACTTTTTTTTCCCATTCATCCCATTGGAGTGGAACCTTGGTGAATGCAGTGTCAGCTGAATTGGGCACTTGGGACCCAGACTCGGCGATGGAGAGTGAGCTGCTTCAGTTACCACTCCCCAGCTCCTTGACTGTAAACACTATCTTTCTGTTCAGCTGAGTCTAACCCAGATGGGGATTTTGGAAAACGCTGAATACATACTGATTAGTATCAAGGCCCCTCTGTCTGGCCTACAGTTCGTTAAATGTTACTGGAAATAGTTTTAACTTTTGTGTCTGCACTGCCCACTGAAAAAGACTGAAGAGGTAATTAGGAAATCCAAGCGCCAGTATAGGCTTTAAGGTCTAACCTGACCTGGCTTTCAGCAGCTCCACCTGAGCTCTTCTCAGTCACCACAATAAACAGTCTCTTCTTCTGCATTACCCAGTTGGGAAAATGTTAATCAGGTATTTTTTAACACATTGTTTATTCATAAGAGAAATGTGTCTTGGGACATATATAATCCATATATGATGATCTTTTAGATGTAGATTCTTTCCTTCCAAAGAAGCTTTTATGAGGAATATGACAAACATCACTCCGAGAGTTATCGCCTGAGTTAGTGCTAAGACCCATGACTACCCAGCAGGACAGCCCACATTCCCTGTTCATAAGTAGAATTCCTGCACCTTCTCCAGACCCGGGGGTATCAGCTGCAGCTCTTAACTCTGCAGGGACACTAGGCTATCTCAGTCACAAACCTAAGAGCCTCCTTGGAAGGCTCCTTCAATGGCAGCAACATCTATACCTAAGCTGCAGCTTGTCCAGTGTGGACAGAAAAACAAATGTGAGGGTGTCCGAGTTGTGAAGGAAGGACCGGGCAGAACGTCTCAGGGCAGTGCATTGTGCAGGAACCTGGGGATTCCCTCTGGAGGACAGGCCCTAGCTGCCCTGTTTCTTAAGTTCCCATTATATTCAATCTCTCTCCAATCTCCCTCTCACCCTCACACTCTCTCTGGCTGTCTCTCTCCTGATTTGCCTGCTTAGGGACAGACAGGTAATGGAGAAGAAATTGAAAGGGAAAATACAGGGAAAATGTAAATGAAAAGAAGTTATTATAACTGTTATAATGAAGTGCCTTTCATTTAAATATAAGAATGTAACGCTGAAATGAACTTGTGATCCTGAAATGCATTTTTAATGAGTTTCCTTTTTATTTTGCTGCTTCAGTGGCATATTTTAAAGACCCTTTGAAAAAAGCCACATTAAAAACCCCACCAAATGCCACAACACGCAAAATTGGATATTGGTTTATTCCAAAACTGCTGATCAGGAAGAGTGACTCCTCATCACAAAATGTTGCAGTCACTTTATTTAAATGAGTTTGAATTTGCATTGTGATGTGCCATTCTGATTTAGGGGAAAAAAATTAGATTTTCAGATCAAATTGACCCAGCCAGTGAAGCGTTAAGTAGCTGGCAGGTTTAGTCTAAAAGCCTCGTGTTCTATCAAACCTGCAGCCGGTAGAAGTCACCAAGCCCGTGGGAAACAACTTTCTTGCCGCCGTCCTTCTCACCAGGCTACCCTCTTCCCTTCTCGCCCAGGTGAGCGACCCTTCCAGTGTAACCAGTGCGGGGCCTCCTTCACCCAGAAGGGCAACCTGCTGCGCCACATCAAGCTGCACTCGGGCGAGAAGCCTTTCAAGTGCCACCTCTGCAACTATGCCTGTCGCCGCAGGGATGCCCTCACCGGCCACCTGAGGACACACTCTGGTAGGTCTCCTCGGCATGGCTGGACAATTGTCCAAATGTTCTCGAACTGTCACACAGACTCGTTTTTAATTAGATCTCATCGTCTGTCTCTCGGGTGGCATCTTACCCAGTAGCCCCACAAGCTCCAGGTTGAAGAGAAAGGGATTTTGTCCAACAATTGTGTTAGGTTTGCTTGCAACATAGTCAACATGCCATAGCCCCCCATTCTGCCCTGTCACGTGGTGTCGTGTGCAACACTGTTCTTTAGGAACACTGGGTTGATTGGCTTTGTCCCTGCCCTCAGAGAGGGCCCCGTCTCAGCCAGCGATCACTCTGTCATTGGTCAGTGACTTCTCTGAGCAGCAGCTGCACCCTTGAGACAGGGGCTATGCAGGAGAGAGGTCCTCAGTCCACCTTCTCCTCACTGCTGCCCTCTTCCCAAACATGAAAGATGCATTTCACAGTGTAAGTTACCCGTCTCTTTGCCCACCTTTCCTAAGCCCCTCAACAGCATCCTATGTGTGTCTGCTGTGGAGGAGCCTGAGGGTTCTACAGAAGCAGAAAGAAAAGTCAGTCTGTCCCGATAGGAGGATCAGAAGAGATTCCCACGGCAGAAGGATTAGACATGTTCAGTCAAAACTGAGTTTGCTCTAGGGGAACCCTAAACAAGTCAGAGTGGGCCATTACTATGGTGCACATTTTGACAGGTGTCAGCAGAGCTGGGTTTTCTAGTTAGTGGTCCCCTCCAGATGGGCATTCCTAGGCAGCTGTAGAGAAGGAAAAGAGCTGAGTCCAAGAGCCATCTCCCCTCTGGTCTGCTTCCCTCTCTGACTGACAGCGAACATGGAGGAGACTTACAAAGCTTATAGCAGAAAGCTGTGATTGCGGTGAGCTTCTTGGCACTGCAGAGAAAGGTGCTGCCTTCCTCGGAGGAGCTGTTCTCTCAGAGGCTAAGACAGGGGACCGACACTTCCCTGTCCTAGGTTGGACACTAGTTCAGACCTGACCCAGGTTTTCTGCGAGGCATGAGAAGAAATGGAGGCTTCCTGAGATGGGGGTAGCACTGTATACATGTATTAGTGATGCGCACGTGCGCTCCACCAAGAGAGGGTGTTACCAGGGACGGAGGGACATACAGTCCTGTGTAGGCATCAGGTGTGAGACTCATACAGCGCATGCCATGCTAGCTGGTGACTAAGAAAGCAGCTGCCCATCTGTCATGGATGAAAAGCCACGTAAACCCAGTCGGCAGACACCATACTCTCAGGTTGGTAGCAAGCACAGCTTCTCAAGCCAGTGGGAAATGCGAAGACCTGCTTTTAGGCTGACCCCAACCACAGCATTGTTGCTCTTTAACTCCTGGTTTGCAGTATAACTCTTTCCTGCATATCCTTCAACCGTAAAATGGCGAGATGAAATCCTGTGAAATTGCTGCAGGGTTTGGGTTTTGCCTACACGCTTGCTCATTGCATCTGAGACATGATGGGCTCCTCCTCCCTGCTAATGATGGATAATAGGGCTAATTATGGATAGTCAAGCAGGTGGTGGGCTCCCCCCAAGTTATCTCTGTCACGGGGTCACCAATGAACTGGTCGAGACATCCGTCAGAGACCTGGGTGTCAATGACTCTGTTGTTGAAAATGCCCTTGACGCACACAGTTCTGGGAGAAAAGAAGCACCGTGTTTGCTTCTTCAAAACGATTTTGCCAGAATGACAAGGCTTAAAGGCTCCCAAAGCACATGTTTTCCCTGTGTGAGTGACCGTGCCCATAGTCCATTAACACGTGGGATTGACCATATGGCTTTCCCTAGCTTCTGGAGGTGGTCTGAGGTTCTAGACTCCAGTATAGAAAAAGAATTTGATATATACTTCTTTGGAAACTCCAAGCTTTGTTAGAGACAGTTTGTTTCTTGTGTTCTAACAATAAAATCAATCATACACTGAGAAAAATCAGATATCATACCACTTATACAGGGGGGCCATTTTGATTCAGCAAATCATTAAAGTTATAAATTTTTCAGGAAAGGACATGGAGTAGGTATTTACACTGCATTAATTTCTGTGACAATAGAATATAAATATGTAATTTTAGGCAGCATTCATTCCATACTTCATCATTATTTCCTAGTGTTTGGGGTGCCTCACGATCTCTAGACAAAAGGGGCTGGAGAGATAGCTCAGCAGTTAAGAGCCCTGGTTGCTCTTCCTGAGGAGCTGGGTTTCATTCCCAGCACCAACATGGCAGCTCGTAACCATGAGGCTCGAGTCGCAGGGCGTCTAGCCCCCGTTTGTGCCCTTTGAAGGCAGGTACAGGCCTTGCACACCCTTGGTGCGCAGTGATACATGCAGGCAAAACACCTGTACGCTTCAAATCAAAATCTGCTGTGGATTCTGCAGCTGAAGCTTTGGTTTTCATGAGAAATTCTTCTTCGCAGCATCTGATCACCTAGGAAAGAGAGCCGAGCGACCCCAGCCATAGCCAGTCACCAAGCATTCCTACAGGCATGACTTTGTACCATACTCTGAAAGATACAAGATCCACCAGCATAAGAAATGCTATATTGTCATGAGGGGTTAAAAAAAATGTATATTCTTCATAAAGTAATTGGAGAATGTTTTCTCTAAAGACTGTTTTTGCTGAAGTCTTTAAAATAGGCATCATATGGGCCCTTGCCTAGTCTCATAAAATACCACTCCGAAAACACAGGAAAGACTAGACTCACATAGAACACCATTGCTCCACATAGAAACCACTTGCTATATGTGGCACTTAAGTTTTGGCAAGTTAAAATTAAATAAAATTAAAATGTTAGTCCTCTGTGTCACGAGCCAAACTTGGACTGTCCATTAGTCCCATGTAACTGGTGGCTGCCGTAATGAGGAGCACAGAGAATGCCATGCTGAACGGACATGCAAAGAACACTTAGAGCATCGCAGTGAGTTCTAGCGGACAGGGCTGTCTGGAAGTTCCTTCATGCTAGTGTTCGTGGGGTTAAAACAGGGTTTTCATAGGCTTTCCCATGCAAAATACATTGAATCGTCTACATGTATATGAAAATGAAGTTTGGTTTATCTATATTAGTTGTTTTGTTGTTGTTGATTTTTTGAGACAGGGTTCTCTGTATCTTTGGAGCCTGCCCTGGAACTAGCTCTTGTAGGCCAGGCTGGCCTCGAACACACAGAGATCTGCCTGCTTCTGCCTCCCGAGGGCTGGGATTAAAGGCGTGCGCCACCACCGCCCGTCATATTGTATATTCTTAAGCAAGACAGTATGCACTACAAATGTCAAGTACATTTGTGTTACATAGACAGATACAATTTGGAAATACCCATTTCATTCATTCAAGCCTTTTCCTGCCATGGCTTCTTAGAGATGCTGAGTGACCTCTTTTGTTGCCCCAGTGAGGGATCAGACCTGGCAGGAGGTTCACCCTGGAGGTGGCATCTGTAGTCTCCTATGCTTCTGTCCACACTGTGGTGCACTTTTTCCCATTAAAGGACCTACCTTAGTGATTTAGAAAGGAGTTTGGTAGTCGATGTGATAAGTTAAGAAGAAACAAGAGTCATGGACTCTCGGTGCAATCAGTGAGTCGCCTGGGCATGAGCGTTTTTTAAAATTCACTCATTTTGACCCAATCCATAATAGTCACAGCTCTCAGGGAGTATATTTTTATTTTTTTTACCCTTTTTTTGTTATAATTGTATTGCATGCATTCCCATTACCCAGAAGGCCAATATTTAATTGGAGTCTTAAACTCAATTGTGTTTTCTGCAGTTGGTAAGCCTCACAAATGTGGATATTGTGGCCGGAGCTATAAACAGCGAAGCTCTTTAGAGGAGCATAAAGAGCGTTGCCACAACTACTTGGAAAGCATGGGCCTTCCGGGCACGATGTACCCAGGTAAGCGCTGAGGCTCCCTGCTGAGCTGGGGCCCTCCCCCTCCCGGTACCTGGGGCAGGAGGGGGCTCTGTGGCGTGTTTCTGGCCATGCCGTCCAGGAGGAACTTTTTGTACTGCAGACTGCACTAGGGACAACTCACTGTGTTCCTCTGTTTTCCAAGTTCTCACCTGACCAGACATAGCCTGTCTTGTGACCTCCCTTCCCGGAAGTGACCCTAATAAGATTTTGTGTTGTGGGGTGCTTTTGGTTTTGGGGGTTTTGGGGGGGGGGGTGATTTTTAAAACAAGAGGAATTGGTAGGAGCAAAGAGATAAGTGATGAAGAGGTTGCCTGGTATGCAGGAGGCCCTGGGTTTGAACCCCAGCACCACACAAACACACACACAAATAATCACACGCATACACACACACACACACACACACACACACACAGGAAAGTAAAAACAAGCTAGAGTAGTGTGGTGATTGAGTCTTTGTGCTTAAAAGTTCAAATAAGACGGCTCAGAGGTTAAAAGCACTAAATGCTCTTCCAGAGGTCCTGAGATCAATTCCCAGCACCCACATGGTGGCTCACAACACCTATAGTAGGGTCTGCTGCCCCCTTCTAGCATAAAGACATACATGCAGATAGAGCACTCATAAACACAAAATAGATAAATAAGTCTTTTTTAAAAAAATATGTGAGGTTTTTTGTGGTTTTTTGTTTTGTTTTGTTTTGTTTTTGTTGTTTTGTTTTTGAAAACTAGCTATTCATTAAGTTCGCCAAAGGAGAAGTGTCAGGCTGGGACTTAGACTGAGCTATGGGTGTCCATACCTGGGAAGATGGGGGAGGACTTGTTGGAAGACCCGGCGGTCATCGGTGCTGAGGCTGTGGGGAGAGAGCTGGGATGTTCACTAAACTCTACCTTGTCAAGAGATTCAGTCTCACCCTGAACATCTAGTGTGTCCTGACTCCTGGTCAGGTGACTCAGAACACTGCAGCGTGAGACTCAGTCTCTCTCTCTCTGAGCATCTAGTGTACTCTTAACTTCTGGCCAGATGACTCAGAACACTGCAGTGATGGCTTCATGCTCCAGTTCTTTCTCAAGAAGTGAGAAATTGCTCTAGCAAGAAGCAGCAGTCTGCCCTCAGCACAGCCACAGAGGCAGGCGCCAGCATTTAATTACACTGGGTTCTTCCTGCCTCTGCCGCATGTCACACTAAGATACGCCAGAGGATCCTAGACCCCCGAGCTGGTGTCAGTCAGCTTCCCATCACTGCAATGCCTTTCTCTTTGGAATGTTGAGGACTTCAGCCCATGGTTGGTCAGCCACACTGCTTTGGGCATGCCATGCTGGAAGCATGGGTACACTAAAATCCCCTGCTGCAGGGTGGGGGGATTCTCACAAGTCAGGGAGAAGGAGAGAAAGAAAAGACTAGGCACCCTTGTTCCTCTTTGAGAACATACCCCAGTGACTTAAGGACCTCCCTCAAGACTCAACCCCTAAGGGTTCCAGCACCTCTTACTTGGATCACCCTAGAGCCCAGGACTCCAACATGTGAGCTAAGCTGGAGCTGCCAAAGCCATGTTTATTTCACCCCTCCAACACCTCCCTTGTAGACACGCAGTGAGTGCTGGATTAAAAAACTTGGCATTGACTGCTCCAGTAATGAACGTTAGTGTAAATCCTGCCAATAAACCTGCATATTCTTGTTTCTCTCTCTCTCTCTCTCTCTCTCTCTCTCTCTCTCTCTCTCTCTCTCTGTCTCTCTCTCTCTGTCTCTCTCTCTCTCTCTCCCCCTCCGTCCCTCCCTCCCTCCCTCCCTCTCTCCTGACCCTCCATGTCCCTCAGGTCACTTCATTAACTCCCCAGACCTATTTACATTGAGTCCATTAAATACAAACGGCCTGGCTCAGGAGATGTTAGAAAAGGGTTGTTTTTCTGAACAAAGTCTCCTTTAGCACAATGGTTGAGGTCACCTGTTACACTTTGTTAATATCTTCATGAGAAAAAGAACCTTCTCCTGGGCCTCACATGCACAAAAGACATAGAAGAAGTGTTGGGCTCAGAGGTGTGGTATGACCTCACCTGAGGGACAAGAAACCTGGGCTGGTGGCTGAGCCCAGTACACAGAGAAGGTCATGTAAATGAGCGTATTAGTTTGATGGCGCACATCTGTGAATGACTTCTAGAATTGGGTTTTATGACTTTCCGTAGTTCCTTTGGTTAATCAGCGTGTAGGCTGAGTGTTGAACTATTTAACAAGACATACTTATAACCCACCATTAAAAAGAATGTGCAGCGGTAGTTTTTGACTAGAAGTGCAGGTTTTCAAGTGGCATTCACAATACAGTGAATATATAAAATATGTAAGGATCCTGTCGTCATGCAGAGTATAGAGTAAGGGTCAGAAAGCGACGGGTCATCCCAGGCAAGGAAGAAATGTAGGAGATGGAAGAGGGGAACAAGGTTGGTCCATCAGCGAACACCCTCCCAAATCTAGGCATGGTTTTCACACAAAATTGTCTTATGCATCTTGTTAACATTTGGTTATAGCATGATTAATAAAAAACCCAGAGACAGCTATTGGGGTTCAACCTGAAGATCAGAAAAGCAAAACATCCAGCCCCTGGCTCTTACCTCTACCTCAGTCCGAAATGGTAATCCTGCCTCCAGGAATCTCAGAATGAGACTCTCTGTGAGAGCAGTTTCCTTCCATCTTAGATTCCTCTCTGGTGCTGGAATTAAAGGTGTGTGCACCACTGCCCTGACTGTAAGGCTGATCAGTGGGTCTGTTTTATTCTCTGATCTTCAGGCAAGCTTAATTTATTAAAGTACAAATGAAATATCACTCCATATGGTAGTCTAACTTATTATAAAAATCTATCTAAAAAAAAAATGAGAAGATTGGCAAGACTAGAGTGACATGAACATGTAGCCATGCCTAAGGAACTCTCTGAAGAACATGGACATAAACTGGCATAGAACTGGATAAAGCTGTGGTCAATCACCATGATCTGTCTGAGAAGGAAAAAGTAGAAGACAGAAACGGTGTTGGAAGAGCTGATTCCAAAGTGAAAGCTGATCACTTTACATTTTCGGCTCCTTAAACAATAGGAAAATATTTAAGGACGTTTCAGGGGAATGAAGGAATTGTATTTTAGAAATCCCTGCCATGCAAACCAGAAGTCAGCTAGGCGAGACTGTGCAGGAGACAGGCTTGGATCTTGACTTACCAATAGGGAGAGTTTGTAAAGAAAAGGAGATGGGGGCTGGGGAGATGACTCAGAAGTTTAGAGCACCAGCTGCTCTTCCAGAGGTGCAGAGTTCAATTCCCAGCAACCACATGGTGGATCACAACCATTGGTAGTGAGATCTGGCGCCCTCTTCTGGCATGAAAGTATACATGCAGACAGAACACTGTCTACATAATAAATAAATAAATAAATCATTTTTAAAAAAGAAAGAAAAAGAAAAGGAGATAGATCGAACTAGCTCATATTTCTATTTTCCTTCATGTCTGCTAGGCTTCCTACCCTGTGTAACTGATATATGATGACTAGGAATTTGCTGTGTGGTCAGGGACTGTTCCCTATACAGTGTGACTTCAGATCCTTTGATTATTTCTGGACCTGATGATATTTGCTTCTGATGGTTGTTGTTAGAGTTGGTTAAGGTAATCCTGAGATTGGGCCCTCCAAAGTGACATAGCTAATTCTCTATGGTCCAGTCTTGGATGGTAGACGAGCAGCTTGTTGTGGGGTTGAACAGGCAGAGGAAGGGGTGTTAGCAGGTGGCTGGTTGCAGGCGGCTAGTGGCTGGATCTGCCAGGGGATTGGAAGATGAGACGTAGGCCCTTGTTGGCATTTTACAAATGTAGCGTTGGCACAGGATATGGTAGCATCTCGAAGTGCAAGCTTGTCTAAACTAGCCTTTCTAACTGTCTTTGGCTTTAGTCATTAAGGAAGAAACTAACCACAGTGAGATGGCGGAGGACCTGTGCAAGATAGGAGCAGAGAGGTCCCTTGTTCTGGACAGACTGGCAAGCAACGTCGCCAAACGTAAGAGCTCTATGCCTCAGAAATTTCTTGGTAAGAGTTAAATGTTTGCTGTCTCTTAACATACAACTATGTGCGTGTTCTAGACTCCAATGAAAATTATTTGAAAGTAGAAGAAAAGAAAAAAAATCACTTTTTGAAAAGAAAGTGATAAAGTTAGTATTTCCTAAATATTGAAGTTTTTTCTAATAATTTTCTCGAAATTGGAAGACCTCTCACCAGGAATTAGAGCCCTTAGTATGATGTGTCCGTGGCCACTAATATAGCAGTTAGATCAGTCCTCTCAGAACTTCGATTCAGGTTTTCCTAGGAGGCTGTGTAACACTGCCCTCCAAGGACAGTGAGGGCTAATAGGAACCGAGCAGAGAATGACCCTCAGAAGTTCTAGTGAAGGGGTACTGCAGCTAGAATTGCTATGTGACCATTGAGTTGTCCTTGATACCTGATGCTTGATACTGTGAGAGACAATGCAGAAGGACCCCTTGCTCCTCGAGCCACTGTTGTCCCAGGAAGCTCTGACTTTGACATTTATGGTCTTTGAGAACCAAAGTGAGCCGTGTAGTCTCATTCGGAATCACAGAAGAAGCAGGAGTATGCTCTCAGTGGGAGCAGCAGCTTTGAATGGAGATACAGCATGGGCCAGAATTGACTGGAAAGGGGGGACGGCAGGAATTATGGGAAGTGATCAAGAGGATGCATTGGTGAAGGAGGCATGGAGATGGAAGGGTGAAGAAAACCCTGGGTTTCCCTGCTTAGTGACATTTGCAGAAAAGATAAAGCCACATCTGGAGAGTAAGAGTTCAGAGTCTAATGAAATTATTTTCAAGAATGTTTCAAGAGAACATGCAACTAAAAAAAAATGGTCACACACATACACACACACACACACACACACACACCTACACCTTCACACTAGAGCGCCTACATCGAGCCAGAAAGACAGAGGTCAGGTTCTCAGGCAACAACCTTCCTCTTCCGAATCCAAATAGGACTCTAATTTTATGTCTTAATTAGAGGTTTCTCATGGCTTAGGGGTTGGGAGGAAGAAGGGAAAGAAAAACCTTCAAGACCAAACAGAAACCACTTATTGGAAATATTATTCATGAACTTGACTATGCAAATGGGAGCTTCTGAACCAAAAGAAGGGAGGAGACCCCGTTTCCTGATCAGAGAAGCAGGAGGGGGGGAATCTTGGCCAAGGAATCAGTGCTGGATGGCTGAGACTTTAGACAGTATCAGGTGCAGAGTCCCTATCTTCCCGCTGTGGAGTGCACCAAGAACTGGACTCATGGAGAGAGTCTGACGGACCGCTCAGACAGACTGGCAGCGATGAGCAGCAAGTGTGTTCAGGGGTTGTGAAGAGCTCCTGACCTCAGGAGGCAGGGTGTGGACTTCCTCTTTTCGATTAGGAACCTGAAGAGTGCCCCATGTTTTAGTAATGACCGTATGCAGTGCCCTAAAGCTTTGGGAGATGTCCAGCCAAATGGAGCATCTGAAATTTGACCATGACTGTCCCGGGTGAATGGGCATTGTCTTGATTCACACGCTTCTGGGTGAGAGGGAGCAGCAAAACTGGTGAAGCAAGGCTGAGATGAGACAGCGCTCTCCAGGGGAGAGGTTAAACGCAGGAGGAAGTGGCATTGTGGGAACAGAAGGACCAGGATAGCAGAAGTGGAGTCTGCAAGGAAGAGCTCCCAGCAGCTGTGCGCTGTTGGTGTTCCCCAGAGGTGATTGACAGTTCATGCCCTACCCAGTGTCTCTTTCTGCTCTCACATGCCTGCCTCCCTCTCGCTGCTGTGTGGTGGCTTCCACTGTCTCACAGTTTCTCCATCTCTGAAACAGAGCCAGGTGGCCCTCACAGGCTCCTCTCCACATTTGGGATGATATATTATTATGTTACTAAAATGATAGATAGCTAGTAAGAATTTTGATAGAAATATTTGATGTTTTTCAGTGAACCAAATCAAACATCCCGGCATTCCCATTACTAAATTAAATGAGCATCATTGTAAATATCTTCCTGACATATATGTTTCAGCGGGTAGGATGAATAAGAGGTGGATTACAAACTAGAGATGGGAAGTAAATGTCTTTTGAAGTTCCCAAAGATGTCCCCTCAGACAGACTCCAACTGCTTTTTCTGGGGGTGGATGTATTGGTTTGTTGTGTTTAGCTCTTCCTGTACCTTGATAGAATGTACGTTCCAGTGATCACAACATATTAAACATGTCTTAAACTTCAAGAGGTGGCCTGTCCTCAAATAACTATTTACTCCCAGAGGGGATTCTGCTTTTTGAAAAGAATTACTCTTGGAATAAAAATATCTTCTTATGAATCTTTTTTTTTTTGATTTTTGTTTTGCATTGTGCATCTCTACAGTATTCACATTCTATTTAGTAATCATTATTCTTATATAGTGTAGGCAGTCACCCCTATACATTTTAACAGGTTGAAGAGTCAGGCCTAGGCGTCTTAGCATCATCTCTGTTTATTTTGATTAATCCCCTCATTGAGTAGACTTTACATTCAAGCCTCCTTGTGTCTGCATCCCATCCCCATTGTTGTCCACCCATCACCTTTGTGCCAGAGGAGTATCCTCAGGAGGGCATTCCCCTGGACCACTCTTCCTTCCCCGCGAGTGATACATCATGCTTCATTGCCTATAGCATTGTTTGTGGGATGGTGCTGGGATGCTGAATCCAGCCTGATTTTCTTTTCTTTAATGTGCTTTTTAATCCAGAAGTCAGAAGCATTCTAGTGTTCTACAGGCTGGATGAACCCGTGCCTTTTAACCTGGGAGGTTCCTTTCTTTTTCTTTCCTGCCTTGTGGAAACATTCCTTTGCATAAATACCCTTTGTTCTGCCTAGTGTGCTCTCTCTACTCCAAAGTGCTGGCTTTCTATAAGTTGGAAAAATTGTCTCCCACGTCTGTTAGCATTTTATTTTTAAGTTTATTCACTGTTATTTTATATTTCCCTGCACTGTCAGAAATTCAGTTCCTAGTCATTTTTATTCTACTGTTTGCTATTTCTAACTCATATATTAAGTGTTTAATGGATTGGATTTCATTTTGTTTCCTGAGATCTGAACTCTTCCCATATCCTGTTGGGTTTTTTTAGTATTGCCTTTGAATATTTTCTGAATTTGACTGCTTGCATATTCCAAAAATTAAAATAGCTAAAACTTTAAAAAAATTCACTCCATGTCATGAATTAATTATGCTGAATTTCTTCTCTTCCTGGAATTAAGTTTCTTTTTCCCCTAGGATGGACTTATTGGTTTGTCTTAATTCCTTTCTCGACAAAAAATATTTTCACTGTAACCATGGCATTTCTCTTTATCCTGCTCATTCTATTTGGTCTAATGGGGCTTGATTGACATTTCAGTGTTCTTCCCATTGTATCTGAGATTTTTTCCTGTGAGAACTATGACTTTTTTAAATCCTGAAAGAATGCCAAGGATGGTGTTGGGGGAGTTCAGGTGAGGCAAAGTGCGGCTTTTGTTTTAAAATGGTCCCCTTTGAGAGCTAGCTCTCTCACGTTCCTCAGACTTGGTTAAAGCCCTAAACCAGCAGATGGTGCCTCCTGGCTCCACAGGGGACATCTCAGGGCTTCCCTGCCCCTGAAGTGCAGCTCATCAAGGCCTTTGCTTCCCTGCAGGGGAGCCAGCCTGCATGCTAAGGTCGCTGATGCCATGTGCTTCCTGCCAGCAGAGCTTTCGACTCTGTGATCAGAAAAGGGGGAAAAGCAATTAAGTCTATTCAACTGTTTTTCTGTCAGCATGAGGGTTGGGGGGATACTGGAAATGTGATTGATCCCACCTGTTTCTAGAAGTGACATCACCCAAAGCTTTGTCTTGTGTCTCACTGAAGGACTGATCTTTCCTTGGTCGTAGGTAAATGAATATAAAGAAGAATGATTGATAAATAGATAGATAGATAGATAGGTAGATAGATAGATAGATAGATAGATAGATAGATAGATAGATAGATAGACAGACAGACAGACAGACAAGATGTTTCACTGAGGCACTGGGGACTTTTGTAGCTTTTAATTTCTCACATATGGGTAGAGAAATTCTTTGGGTAGATTTATCATTATCATTTATCCGTGCTCATCTACAGTGTATGTTGCTTTCTTTGCAACACCCACTTGTTGTTGAAACTAAGTTCTTGAAACAGCAGGCTTCAATGGTTGCTTAGAAAACCACAGAAGCGCGACTCTGGGGAGAAACAGGAAAGCACCACCTTTGGTGAGAGAACACACACTTCGCAGGCGAGCAGAACTGGGCACCAGGCCCACACCCTCCTCCATTGCTAGGCTTTGGCAGTCAGTGAGATGCGAGTGCAGCAAGAATGAGTTCCTTCTGCCCGTGTAACCAGATAGACTACGACCTTGATTTTAAAAACAAAATTTACAGGAAAAACAATCTTTGGTTTTAGGAATGCTGTGTAATTTTAAAATGCTACCCAATTACTTCCCCCATAATGGAGAGAGAAAACCGTCCGTTGTCTCTACACAGGGATTTTGTCCTGTCCAGTCTCTAAGAAGATGTAATTGGACGTACACAAGTTTGCTTTCAATAATCTGAGGCTCATTCTGCACCCTTATCAGGGTACGTGTTGCTTCTGACACAGGTAGATGGAAGCCAATGAAATCAAGTAGTCATGTGGTACACATGCAGTAAGACACAAAGAAATGTAATGTAAAGAAAGATACTGAGCCATGGGGAGTATATTCCTTGGCTACTATATTTTATTAATTAAGTTCATTCATTTATTTTACATCCCAGCTGGTTTCCCCTCCCTCTTCTCCTCCTATTCTCTTCCCCCACCACCTCCCTTCTGCTCCCACCCATCCACTCCTCCTCTGTTTCTGTTCAGAAAGGAGCAGGCCTCCCCTGGTGTCAACAAAGCATGGCATATCAAGTTGGGGTAGGACTAAGCTCCTCCCTTTAAATTGTGGCTGGCAAAGGCAACCCGGTGTGAGGAATAGGTTCTCAAAACCCTGTCAAGCATTAGGGACAGGCATTCC